ATGGTGGAAGTAGCCATCAGAGGATGGGTACATGGTGGCCATAAAGGGATGGACATGGTCAGAAACAATGCTCAGGTAGGCCGTGGCATTTAAACGATGCCCAATTGGCACTAAGGGGCCTAAAGTGTGCCAGGAAAACATCCCCCACACCATTACACCACCACCACCAGCCTGCACAGTGGTAACAAGGCATGATGGTTCCATGTTCTCATTCTGTTTACGCCAAATTCTGACTCTAACATCTGAATGTCTCAACAGAAATCGAGACTCATCAGACCAGGCAACATTTTTCCAGTCTTCAACTGTTCAATTTTGGTGAGCTCTTGCAAATTGTAGCCTCTTTTTCCTATTTGTAGTGGAGATGAGTGGTACCCGGTGGAGTCTTCTGCTGTTGTAGCCCATCCGCCTCAAGGTTGTGCGTGTTGTGGCTTCACAAATGCTTTGCTGCATACCTCGGTTGTAACGAGTGGTTATTTCAGTCACTGTTGCCCTTCTATCAGCTCGAACCAGTCTGGCCATTCTCCTCTGACCTCTGGCATCAACAAGGCATTTCCGCCCACAGAACTGCCGCTCACTGGATGTTTTTTCTTTTTCGGACCATTCTCTGTAAACCCTAGAGATGGTTGTGCGTGAAAATCCCAGTAGATTAGCAGTTTCTGAAATACTCAGACCAGCCCTTCTGGCACCAACAATCATGCCACGTTCAAAGTCACTCAAATCACCTTTCTTCCCCATACTGATGCTCGGTTTGAACTGCAGGAGATTGTCTTGACCATGTCTACATGCCTAAATGCACTGAGTTGCCGCCATGTGATTGGCTGCTTAGAAATTAAGTGTTAACGAGCAGTTGGACAGGTGTACCTAATAAAGTGGCCGGTGAGTGTATATATATATGTGTGTGTGTATACATATACAGTATAAATACACACATATATAAACAAAAACGTCAACGTCAGATGTGATCGATTGGACAGCACTAGATTATTTTTACATTTTATCTCATAATTATGACTAGTATATTATAAATTCTTCTTTTTATATTCATCATAATCATGATTTACCAAAGCATGATTTTTTCTTTCCTTATGTGCCAGAAATGGGTTTTCATATTGAATATGTGGAATTCATAAAAAAACTCTGTTTGCAATGCAACCTTTTATCATTGATTCTTGCTTAGTCAAACATCGCGATTCATCCCTCTAACACTCAAACTTTAACAGTGTTAAAGAATGTTGTTAAATGTTGTGAACAGTGTTAAAGTTTAGCATATGAAAAAAGCCCATAGACTTACATTGAATGAACTTTTTAACCCATATCTAGATTATGGGTTTTATAATATCCATATCCATAATATCTCAGAGACTTGGGGTTGGGACAGTAAGAAACTGCTCAGACACTAGCAACTGCATAGTATAATGTTAGTATGATTTTTAAATCATAAATGGTCATAATTTAGTAAATGAAAGCCATTTTCTACCCTGATTTGAACGCTTTGTGTCTGCTGTAAGTCTTCAATGCAAACGCCCACTGCTATGATTGACTAGCGCCTTTGCATATGAAATAACGATTTCAACTCGATTTCTGCACTCTCACGAATGCTTTCATCATAACTAACAATGCAAACACGATGTAAATAAGATTAAAGCATCATCATTGATTATAACGGGAGTTTTGGCAGGAGACGAGAACTCACTAATAAACTCACGCTGTGATTGACAGCTCCAGAAATTATAAAGAGAGCATTCTTTGATCGCTTTCTGTATATAATTTAATCATAATTGAAATAATTTTCACATATAATCTGATCGTTCATATGACTTGTATTGTCAGTTACATGCTGAGGTCATGGTTTACACTCTTTCAAATAAAGTGTCTGTTAAAAGCGTGTGTTTGTTCCAGGGCTCTGCAGTTTCCTCCCGAGGGCTGGCTGAGGATGGGCCTGAACAACGGCAGCATCACCTGGCTGACGATTCGTCCCAGTGGCCGAGTGGGTCTCCGATCGCTGGGAGACTCCGGCTTCATGCCTCCAGATAAACTCACCCGGACATGACGTTCTCAAGCTAGACCAGCATGGCCTCATTACAGCCGAGAACTGAAGGATAGCTGAGATGGACAGACGTTAGAGTTTCAAAGGGTCAAAACCTTTCCGGAAATGTTCTGCTGAACGCCGTCTGAAATATGAACATGCCATTTTCGATTCCAAAAATTCCAAAATACGGAATGTGATTTCAAATTCACCGCCTCATATAGCGAGTTTAATAATAATCATACATGGCTGCAGTTTAGGAGAACATTGCTGTGAAAAATGTCCTTTGCAACTCTACAATCTGTTGCTGTAGTGATCGGTTCTCCTTAAGTGTCTTGAGTGTACTGATTTTGTATTTTTTAAAAGAGACAAGTTAATGATTATTGATATTTCTCCAATTAGACACTCCTGTGCCATGCTGATCAATAGCTGTGATGGAAAGGTGAAAGTAACCAGCAAGTGTACTTTTTTACGTTTATAAAGACTTTTTCCCGGAGCATCTTGCAAACTCTGGAGGCCTTGTTGAGGCAGGTGGTGTCTGTTTGCACTGTTTACGTGGTTATGTTTGTTTTAGAGGCAAGGTGTGAGTGAATTTGCTAAAATGTGAGAATCTTGCCACTGAGGAGGACTCTGTATTAATGTTTGATGATTGTTTGTACACAAAGAAAACTGACAGTAAAATTTTTTCATTGAGCTGGCATTCAGTGTTTGTGTCATACATTAAAAAAAAGTCATATTTCAGTTCAAAATTAAATTGTGATGCTTAATAAATGACCTGTATGATTAGGGACATTAAGCCATAAATAATTTTAGCATTTTTATTACCATAATACAGTAAACCAATACTACTTACATTAAATACTCAAAACAATCCTAGTCGGACACATGTTTTGTTGTTTATGCAAAAGATACCCGTTTATTTCTGGGATAAATATGCAGATATTTGTCTATTTTCATAAGATACACTACGGTTCAAAAGTTTGGGTTTTTTTGTAATACGTTTTTTCAGCAAGGTTGTATAAATTGATCAAAAGTCACAGTAAATATATTTAGAATGTTACAAAAGATTTTTTCAAAGAATTCCAAAAAAGTCAGCACAACTGTTTTTAACATTGATAAGACATTTTTATTGAGCACATAATCAATGATTTCTGGAGGATCATGTGACACTGAAGACTGGAATAATGACGGCAAAAAAATCCATCACAGGAATAAAGTTGCAAATATATTCAAAAAAGATTATAAATTGTATTTCACATATTACTGTTTTTACTGTATTTTTAACAAATAAATGCAGATCGGTGAGCATAAGACACTTCTTTCAAGAACATTTAAAAAATCTTACCGACCCCAAACTTTTGAAAAGTAGTGTACCACCAAATATACTAATAATGTGAATAAATTGGTATGTGTAATGCACCGAAATGAAATCTAAATTGACTAGTTTCCATAAAGGTTGCTTTTTCTTCTACAGTCAGAGAAAATCAGTAAAGTTACAAGACTGTGCACTTTATTTATCGTCCGTCAATAGAACATCAAATACTTTCCTTTAACGTATACTGTAAGAAAATAGGACTAGAAACGCATGCAACGTAAAAGGCCAGGACAACAAAAAATAATTCAATTCTCGACAATAAATTGCAACTCATTTTCAATTCACCAGTGTTGGCACTACAAAGCATCGTTTAACAAAAAGTAAGGCTGGCATTGATACAACACTAGCAAGAACTAAACCGTAAACCTTTTTTCTTTTCTTACAATCGCATTTTAGAGGTATTCAGACACTGCATATGCCAATGCTACTGTACTGTATGTTATAACAGAGAAAACAAAGGTCTATTCAGCTCGTATGTGATCAGTGCATTTGTCATGCACCGAGGAGCCACAGGCCCTTCCAAACAGATCATAATCAAAGGCACTAAAGCTTTACAAAGCAATGATCAACAGGCCAGCACTACACTGAGAACGATGGGCACCGAAGAAATAGATCACATGATCTGAAAGTACCACAGAGGATGTTCTGAACTCATTTCCTTGAGATATTCATCACATAAAACGGAGCTAATTTCTGCTTTTGCACATGTAGCCTTGATTTGAAAATGACTGGGGTGAATCGTTTAAGATCTGCCAAAATGGGTCCATTTCAAAAGCCAATGAGAGAATCACATTGTCCGTTGAAGATGGGATGAGGGACAAAGATCTTTGAACATTTCCGCACACATTTAAAGTGCACTTACAACACTCTGGATTCACAATCAAGTCTTACAGCTATTATGACATTAATGTAACAAGATAGAACCGGCTTGCCATCCGCACTCCTTATCAATCACCACCAACTTTGCGTGTGTTTGAACACGGTACGGCTCAAATTATGCAGATTCATATCTTTTCAACCAAGTCTCATCTGATGCTCAATTACATCAAAATCCAAAAAGAATTAAAAGTGCAAACAAATACGTGCATAGAAATGATAAATCACATTTATTTAACTTAAAAATAAAAAAGGGGAATATTTTTCACACGTTACAGACCACCTTTTTTCCCAACGCATAAGGCTGCAATTAACAATGCACGAATAAACACCTGCTTTCGAGATTCAGAAGTAGGTCTTTCCTTTAAGAAATGTAAGGCAGTTCTCCAATTAAAGAATAAAAAAGAACTTCTGGCAGTCAGTCGACTTCCCTCCCCCTCCCCCTCCCTTAAAAACCAGTAAATACCCATTAAAATGAGCATTTTGTGCTACTGACAGTTAACTAGCAAAAATAATTAAATAATTTACTACTACATTATTTCAATTTAGCTCTGGGTTTCTGTGTTTAATCCCCCCCCCCAAAAAAATTAAATGACTGTGTTAAGTGGGAAATTGAAATTGTGGGAAATTGTTCATTTCCATTAAAGACACAGCTTTGTAAATCCACAGATTTTTCTCCCAAGCACACGCGCACACACACACACACACACACACACACACAGAGATAATAAAGAAAACGGAAAACAAAACCAAGTTAGAAAAGTCCATCACAGATCAACATACTCTGCGTCATACACAGAAGTACCGAATATATATATATATATGATGACTCAAAAACCCACAGGAGATGTGCATATTATTATTTGAGCTGTGTTCTATGAACCAAGGAGCATTCAAACTGAAGGACGGCCTGTTGCGAGATCCTATCTGCGGTTTGCCTGGCACTAAGAACCCAGTTTGAGCGGATTTCATGGCTTCCATTATGACATTGTTCTCCTCTGTGATGTTCCATCCTCTGAAACAGCCCACCTGGATTTTTTTTTTTTTTTTTTTTCAGGTACTAATCAGTAGAAACTGTCGGTGGGGTTGAACGGGATGGAGAGCGTTTGTTAAATGGGGGTGTCGCCGAAATGTTTTAGCCGGATACGTTGGATGTAGCTGACAGGGCTGTGGTTTGAATGAGCGGGACTGTAACTGGAGTGTGCTGGGCTGTAGCGTCCGGGGCTGCAGACGTCCGGTGAGCCCATGTGACGAGCTGGGCTGAAACGGCCCGCGGGGGACAGCAAACCACTCGCTGGAGAGCCAGGGGTGACTGAGTGAGCCCTTAAATGGCTCTTGTGCATTGCAGAAGTCTGCCAGCTGAAAACATAAATACAGATGTCTTAAGTGTACATAAATATGCCACAAGATGCTCTCAAAAGGGATCTAAAAAAAAAAAAAAGATATATATATATATATATATAAAATAGACAAACAGGACCTTTCTTGTTCTTTAAAAATAATCTTAACAAGGCCAAACTTTTAAAGGAAAATTTTCAATGTTTTTTGAAAGAAGTCTCTTTTGCTCATCAAAGCTATATTATTAATCTGAACAAAAATAAAGTAAAAAAAAAAAAATTACCAAAAACAAATTACTACAATTTACATGAATGGTTTTAATATATTTTAAAATGTAATTTATTCATATTTTTATAATTTAAAATGTTTTTTTTATCATCAGCCACTACTCCGGTGTCACATGCTCCTTCAGAAATCATTCTAATATGCTGATTTGGCGCCTAAGAAACATTTATTATTATCAATGTTGAAAATTGTCTTGCTTAATATTTTCGTGGCAAACTGCGATTACATTTTTCATTAGGATTTTGTGATAATAGAAAGTTCAAAAGAACAGCATTTATTTAAAACAAAGCTTTTGTGACATTATAAATAAATAAATATAATTTAATTGATCAATCCTTTCTGAATAAAATTATTAATTTAAAATAAACTTTTGAATACTCGCCCTCAAGTTGTTCCAAAACTGTATGAATTTATTTATTCTCCTGAACAAAAAAAAAAAAAAATAAATTAAAATAATGTTGGTGGCCAAACCATGGGACCAACAGGGATGGGCCCCTTTGACTTCCATAGTATTAAAAAAGAAAATACTATGGAAGTCAATCGGGTCCATCAACTGTTTGGTCACCAACATTCTTTAAAATATCTTTTGTGTTCAACAGAAGAAATAAATTCCTACAGTTTTGGAACAACTTGAGGGTGAGTAAATGATGACAGACTTTTTATTTTACTTCAAGTACACAACTTTCACTAGTGAGCCACACATACACACCTTTGCATTTCTAAGTGGGAGAAGGCCTGAATTGTGCTCTTCCATTTGTGAACGCTGGGATACTTCAGAGGGTCAACATCTGTAACTCCTAAAGCTGACAAAACCTCTCTGTCCAAATTGCTGGGTGAATCACTGAAAAAGGAAAGAAAGAGGGAATGTTTGAAGCCAAAAACTTGAATTTTTCATTCATTGTAGACAGATTCTAGCTCGTAGAATATATTTGAATGGAGCATAACTAGAGAAGCGTATGGGAATTTTCACACATGGTACAAAATAGGACCTAAAAAGATTTTTGGCCCCATTTCTTTTATAACAAATAGTGAGTCAAGGAGGGTTTTTTACCTTCCGAAAATATGACAACCACAAGAGCTCAATCTAAATTGTATACACGGTTTTCCATTTTTGTAACTTCTCTCACGGTACAAACAAACAGGGCTGGGCAACAAACTCAAGCTCCTCTGACATTTCTCTTCAAAAATTCTCGTTTTAGACTTCTAATTCTTGACCGTTGTTTTGTTTCTCTATCCTCTGCGCTTCCGCATTCATCAATACATCAATGTCGGGTCAAAGGTCACTGTTCCGACGAAACTAGACTCACGTACTGCCGTTACCGGAAGCCAGTGATTATGGTTTATAAAGTTATAAATATGGATATTTTTCTTACAAAAACACATTGCTTCACATCAGACGGCATTCATTAACACCCTGGAGTCGTATAGATTACTTTCATGATGGATGGATGCGCTTTTTTGGGCTTCAAAATCTTAGGTACCATTTACTCCCATTATAAAGCTTGGAAGAGCCAAGATATTTTTTTATATAACTCCGATTGTGTTTGGCTGAAAGAAGAAAGTCATATACACCAATGGCTTGAGGGTGAGCAAATTATGGGATAATTTTGGGTATATAAAAAACATTAAAAATGTGATTTTCATTCATTTTCTTTAACATGTTGTGAGAAACAGAAGGTATTTAAGGCTGCTGTCACTTTAAGACCTAATGCACGGATCTGTTATATTAACACACGTTTACGCTCACTTAAGACATAACCGACTATGTTTATGTGTATACTTGTCAAGACTTGCATCTTTACCGAATTCAGTTCTCTTTCGTGTCTTGAGCAAATACACACAAAATTATGTACTCACGGTCTGTGTGCGCGCTTCAGGAGTATGCAACGACGATCTATCACAGCGCGTTGAGTTCTCTTTTGCGCTTTTAAAATCATTTGAATGGTTAAACTGACAAGCTTTTATAAACTTTCTAGATGAAGCAGCACTGGCCCAATCGTTCAGATATTCGATTATAGTTTTGGGGGGCTGAGACCCCCCTAAAAGGGCCTGGAACCACCCCTGAAGTGTACTACAAGAGCCTTAATATTTCATTCCACTATTTTTCTAGTCTAGAAATCACAATTTAGAAATTCTCTGATACCGCTGGAAATATCAGTGTGATCATAGGTTCCTCTCACCCTTCAATGAAGAGTCTTTTCGTCACTCTGGGAGGGGTCCGCAGTATGAAGTCCTGAGAGCTGTCAAGTGATCTGTAAGAGCTAGAAGACCCTGAGGAGCTGAGGTCTCTTCCCCCATGATCCCAGGACTTTGACCTGGCACATATTGTGCGCTCACCCCCTGAAGTCTCTATAGTCTGTTGGTTCAGAAGCTCTAACCTCTCACTGGCCAGAAAGAATTCATCTGAACTTGCACTGGACCTCCCATCTACTTCATTTATTCTCTCCACTCCATCCTTCTCAGCTGCTCGTAACACAGACGTCCTGTCTTTCTCAAACACAGAGTCATCTTCTGAGGACAGTGAGAGCCGGCCCAGTCCGGAGGTGAGCTCTGTGGCCTGGGCGTCTCTGTGGCGTTTCCCTCCACTTCTTCTTCTCTCCCTGTTTGTCCTCTCTGGCTCATCCAACAGAGACATCCTCTCAAACTCAGCCATTAGATTTGAGATGGGTGACAGCATGCAGGAATTAGAGGAACCGCAGATGCGAGGAGACATTTTGTCCTCGTTTGGTGTCCTGTCCCCGGGGCCCTGTTCGCACAGGCCATTTTTACTGCTGGAGATCAAGGATTTCTCAGAGAGCAGTAAATCTTGCTCTGCCGCTGCCTCTATGAGGTCAGCACTGTGGGAAACTGGTAGGATGTGAAATTCAAGGCCCCCTACCGCCCCCTGCAGGCCATCTTTGGAGTTCACAGAAGAAATACTGGTGAGTGCAGCATTCTGCCTGTTCTTGATCTCCTCCAGGCTGATGTCATCACCCTCATCCAGAAATGCCCCCACAGAGATGGAGTTGCAGAACTTCTTCAGTTTGCCTGAAATTTAAAAGAGGACATTTCATGGAGTGAAGGATTTCCCTTGGTCTTTGAAATCAAAACGTTTTCCCCAGTCCCCAATATATAACCGCTCACATTCATATCAATAAAATCATTTTACATGCAAACCATTCACAATATACATATAGAAAACTTAAAGTACAGTTAGCAAGCAATGATATGCATTTATATAAATGTAATTCAAGAAGTATAATTTTGTGTGTGTGTGTGTGTGTATATACACAGTATATATATATATATATATACACACACACACACACACCACTATTCAAATGTTTGGAGTTGTTTTTCAAAAAGACTTAAGCTCACCAAGGCTGCATTTATTTGATCAACAAAACAGTAAAAACAGTAATACTGTGATATATAATAAAGTTAAATTATTTACAAGATAATTTATTTGAAATAGAAATCTTTTGTAACATTAATGTATCATGCATGGGAAATTATTTTTGGTTATAAATTCTGAAATTAGAATGTTGTTTAGGTTGCAAAGTTCTTTTGAAACGACACCAATGTCAATGGTAACTTTACAGTTAAAATAATACAAATAACATTTTGACAAAACAAAGAGGTTTTATAAAATGATAAACCTCACATTTCAGTGTAATAAAAGATTATCCATCCATGTTATATTAAAGTACCCTATTATGCTATTTTAAAGGTTCCTAATTTTGTTTAGGAGGTCTCCTACAATATATGTACATGCATTATAAAACCAAACCATTTTTTCATAATATACATTTCACATCACCTCATTTCTCAAAGAGTCTGAAAACAGTTTGAAGATTCAGTCTCTCTAAACCCATCCTCTCTGCTAGCTTACTCTGCTCTAATAGCTCAGATGGCCCAGGCTGTTGTGATTGGCTTACAGCTTGTGTTGGAAACAAAATGCCTATTACAATATCTGAATTTCAGCTCCGGAGGCTTCCTCAGCATAAAACCAATCTCTTCTGGGCCTCAGCTACAACTACAGTGTTTGAGAGCAGAGCGAAGTACACCATAGGCTGGAATTATGCGTATTTGTTACGGAGGAATGTTAACGGGAAATGAGACTGGAATTACTGGCTCGTTTCAGCAGTTCAGAACTGATTCTTTCTTTTAGGAGACAATCACTTAATTTGTTGTGCACTTTGACCTTTAAAACTTTGCTGACCTTTTACCTCAAAAACAGCTAGATTACACACTGCACGAAAGGTAATATTCAAAATTTGTCTGAACAAAAACGCCAGATGGCCTGAATGGAAATGCAAATGTACTCTCTGACAGTAGGTGGTGCTAATGGAAATGTAGAAATACTCAAAGCTTATGGATAAGATAAAAAGAAAATGCCATCAAAACTTTTGTGAAGACAGTCAATTCACATAACCCCTCACCAAATAAAAACTCCTCAGATTTGCATGAATCAGGTGAATGGCCTATTTTAATCAGAAAAGCAAATTTGCCAAACGTCTGCAGGTGTGTTAAGAGTCAGTAGTCTTACCAGGAGATGGGGTTTTAAACCTGTTGCTGGTTTCATTCTCTCCAGCCTCCTCATGAGCGCGCTCCCTGAAGTCCTTTTTACTGAGGTATTCTTCAAGCACTTTTAGGCCGTCAGCTGACTGCAAGTCCACAAAACTATCCAGGAAATCCCAGTACTCTGCCCAGGGATGACCGAGCTCATGGGCCAGATCTCTGCTCACAGACAGGACACCAATATCTAATCAATGTTCAGTTCTCTATTAATGCCTAAAGAACATGAAATGAGCGTCTGTGATATGCAAGTAATGTCTAGCTTCCTTCAATTATGGCGCTTTTCCACTGCATGGTACGGCTCGCTTTAAATGGTACCACCTCTGTTGAGGTTCCAATGAGGTACCGATATTAAAATGTGACGTGAAAACACTACAGATCACAGATTGGTCAGAGAGAATAGTCACTACCAGCATCATTGGATTTGCAACACGAGACACTAGTGTTGATTTAAATATTCAGCAACAGACACCGCAGTGTTATTTGTTCGCACAACTTTTATTAAACAACTTGCTTGAAAAAATACAAATAAAAATAAAAAAAGAAACTTTGAATTGTGGTGACTGGTCAGTAGAGAAGGTGCAGACGTTCCTCTTGTTGGTAGCCTGGATATTGCGACCAGGAATGAAAACGTTTTTCAGCAACTTTAACGAGCAGACTATAATCCCAACCACTTTAAAGTAGCACTAAACTGCAGTGGAAAAGCAAACCGAGCAGAGCCGAATCGTACCACGCTGTGGAAAAGCAAAGCGAGCCGTGCCACGCCGAGCTGAGCCGTACCATGAAGTGGAAAAGCACCATTATATCTTAGTCAGCACTGACCTGCCAACTCTTTCTGCCCCACGGTCTGGGTCAGACTTTAAGATGTTGTGGAAATGGTCTGCCCGTTCTCTGGGAGGAGTCTTCCACGCCCGTCTGAACTCATCCGCCTATAACACAATGGGAATTCATTTATAGACAAATTTGATTAGGTCATAACACATGACTAAACATCTGTTGAGTCTGACAGCACAAAGCGAATATACTCACTTTAGATGGACTTAAAGGCCCAGCAAAGGCTCTGACTGCCATAACTGGATCCTTTGGGCTTCTGGGTAACCGTGGTGACAGGTTTTCCATTGGCTCAGGGGACCAAGGTGCACCAATAACAGGCTGGGAGGAATTATCAGTGGCTCTCAATAAGGGGATGTATAATCGATCTGTAGCCAATCAGAAACCAATCAGGTGTTAGGATATGGAATGCAACTAATGTACATTTTTTAAATGTATTAATACACAAGTATATACTAGCGGTATTCAAATGGCAGACCGGGGTTCTGGAGCCCGGCTTGGTTCCATCCGGACATAAATTTTCCGCCATTTTCTACAGATTAAAGTGAGCAGCGCGTCAAAACAACGAAGCGCTTTTGGTCGTTTACGTATATTTACATCCTCTAAAATTTTTATCAAGAGCCAAACACACTTAATTCAAGCCCTTTCCGCTGTGTGTGTTGCTTCTCTCTCCCGCTTAAGGTGTAAAGTGCCACATTAAGAGCTGCAGACGACGCGGTTATTTTAACAACAGTAGCGGAAACACGGTGAGCAGCAAAATAGATACTTTTGCTAAAACGCTGCAGAAAACAAGAAAGTAGCAAATGCAATTATTTGTATTTGTCATACAGATGACTCGACCATTTAACTAAACCAGCTTTGTGACGCCTTTAGACGTTTTGTTTTTTTCCATACATTTACCATTATTAATCAGCATACTAAGAGCATTTCATGATAAACTATGTTATAATTTGGAAAATTATTTAGAGGTGGAAAGGGAAGACAAAAAAAATACTAGTTAACTTTGTTTTGTGCTCATGATGAGAATTGATTATTCAATTATGAAGCAAATGATAAAAATGTAATAATAATAGTCTGATAAAACCTGGTATATACCATCGGCTTACCTTCTAAATATTCCTTTATCTTCTGTTTGACCTCCTGAACTTTACCCTTTTCTTTCATTCTTTCACAAATGACCTAAATTAAGGGAATACAATGGAAGACTGATAAATAAGCTTTGATAAATTATGAAATCCTCAGCATGAAAGCTATTGTATCAGGGTTACCGTACCTCAGAGGGTTTCTGGTTGTACTTGTTCTTGCAGTTCTTGTCAATGTCTGGATGAGAACAGAGTATGTTCACCACCTCTGGACAGCCAAATTTACACGCAAAGTGGAGAGGCGTCTCAAACCCCTATAAAACAAAGACAGCGTATTACATATCATATGTCCATATAAAAAAAAGATGTTCAAAACATTGGCATCAAAATGTTGGCTTTTAAAATATCGCCTTTGTCAAATTCTGAGGCAGCACTGAATGTATTGTCCACACAAATCAAAAGGCAATACCACAATGCATTGTGAAGTTTTTAATCCAAGATGAAAATATTTGACTCAGAAACAATAAATGCCTGTAGGAACAAATTTTACACAATATTTTTGTGCTTATCAGAGTATGTTTACGTAATTACCAGATAATAATAACCCAGATGTTCACATCCTCAGACTTACACGTTTCTATGGAAACAATATTAACGTCAAAATGAATGCATGTATCATGTAATTTATACAACAAGTAACAGTTGTTATGCAAATGCATTTTTGATAAACTTTAAAGTTTATTTTCAGATTAATAAGTCAATTACTGGAATTTTAAAAAGAAATATTACAAGATTACTTAACTACATTTGACTGCTGAAGCTAGTACCATTTTCAGCGTTTCTGCAGTTTTTTACCAGTTGGAATGTCGCAATTATGGCAATTCTGACATTGCATAAGCACACCTATTGTATTAATTGTAAGTTAATGACTGTGTGAGTGACCATTAATGGAGATGATGCCCATTTCAGTCACTATTACACTACTATACACACTGCTATAGTTAGGAAGCTGCCTTTAAAGGTAACCAGCAAAAAAAATAAAACATGAATGCGGAAGCTGCTACCTCAACTCTCATGTTACAACATTATGTTTGAACAGTTAAATAATAAAGACAGATTAAGAAGTAACACTTACAGCTTTATCTGGCGTATTGAGGTACAGGTCTACGATATACCGGATGCGTTTCTGCAGCATGCTCTCCTGGTCATCTGGGTACATGAGACGCATGAAATCTGGGTTCTCTAGAGTGTCCAACAGGATCTGAACAATGCCTGACTGGTTCTCCTTCCCAGCCACATGCATCACGTTATACCTGCAGCCCTCCTGCAGTCACATTTACAGTAGAGAAACATTTCAAAGAACAACATTCAGAGACTTTAAATAAGCTGTTGTGAATACGAAGAAGAACATGCTTAAAGTCAACATGAAACGGAAGTTGCGATAGTACATTCTCCAAAGAGAAGAGATCTCATAGCCAGAGGGAGGGGAAGTTATTTTGAGGGCATGTGAATATTGAAAAAAATAAAATAAATGTGCAGTGCACGGATAAAACATTTATAATAAATACTGCAATGTTCCATGAAAAAAATAACAATTGCCTATTTTGATTTCATGTTGACCTCAAAAGTATATAGCTGTGGAAATAAATAACTTAATATTAAGATACAAGGCCAGTTTCGAAAGAGACTTTAAACTTTGCAAAGAAGCCAATAGCTCACCATATCAAAACAACTCCATACAAACAGATCATGGTACAAAAGTGCTCACCTGGACTACAGTTGGGTTGTCCCCTGACCCGATGAGGTAACGAGGGTTGCTCCAGACCAGCTCAGTAAAGGCAATCTCGTCTCCCTTCTCCACGGCCTTCCTTAGCTTGGCCGTCAAATCTTGTGTCCGAGGACTTTTAAAACTGTTTGCCTTCTCCCTGTTGATTGTGTCTGCCTCCATCATAGATGGGTGGTCTGGTTTGGGGAATTTCACACACACACACACACACACACACACACAAAGGTTACATATCATAATTATGTATAACATATTTTTACTACATTATAAATTATTTAAAATATAACTTTTGAAACATGGTTGAAACTAATTAAAATGTATAAAAAAAATAAAATGATTTTTCAAATGGGCATTACATCTGAAATAATGGAGAGGTTCTTCACCTTTGTTAAACACCAGGCCGGGTTTGACGGGAGAAACACAGAGATTGCTTTTACTAGGCGAAGGGTAGTAGTCACATATGCCTTTGGCAAACTTCTCAGCATCCTCACGATTGGAGAAAGCTTTAAACCGAGCGCCCTTCATCATTTTAACGGCCTGCAAAGCCTCTTTCTTATCCGTGTACACGTGGGCTCTCTCTACAGAGGCAGACGAAAAGAAAATCAGTCTTAGACCAACATAACAGGTTTAAGTCATCTGTATGCATGTAAAAGACTATTGTACTAACAACTCTACAGTATTAGTGCTGATAACTAATTACAGAGGGTACACAGAATTTAAAGCTGACTTTCACAAAACGTACACTATGGTTCAAACGTTTTTTAAAGAAGCTACAAACACCTTAATTCATTAAGGATGCATTCAATGTATTATTCAAAAGTGACAGTAAAGACATTAATCATGTTACAATACATCCTATTTCAAATAAATACTGTTATTTTTAACTTTCTATTCCTCAAAGAATACTGCTTTGAAAATGTATCACTGTTTGTTTTACAAAAATATTATATTAGAATGATTTCTCAAGGATCATGTGCCACTGAAGACTGGAGTAATGATGCTGAAATGATACTCGCATCATTCTCTTTCTATGAAACCTGCAAACTGTATTCGTCGGTTCTAACTCTGGTCAACCGCAATAGAGTGTTGCTATAGAGCACTGCAATTATTTCTCATTTACTAGATTACAATCAAATGGACTTCCCCACACATTTTGCATCTATCCTCTGTGTGGCATTTTTTTTTCTGCGAGGCCGCGACATCAGAAGTAAAGGTAAAACTGCTTACCATTCCTAGCCAGTACATCCTCCCACAATGGGCACACCCCATAGAAGAAGGTGGGCGACACCTGTGCAGTTTTAGAGGGAGTCTGTGCCTCCAACTGTGAATTCTCCACATTACCGGGGCACACCGTTCCGCTCAGAGCTTCCTCCTCCGGCGGGTTGAGGCCCATGCCGTACCCAAAATCTCCATCCTCGCCTATGACCGGATCTGGGGTTGCTGATGTGGCACTGGGTGGCACTACACTCCCAGAGCCTTCCAACGAGGCACTGTTCCCACTGCTGCCATCAGGCTCAGTAAGTCCAGCCTTCTCCACTAGAGTCCTGGCGAGCTTGCGCTCAAAAATGGCTCTTGTCGTGGCAGTGATGGGGCCACACTTCAAGTTGGCTTTAATGATCTCCTCCCTCAACTCGTCAGCAGTGAGACCCTTCAGCCGGCTCAGGACCGCGTCCATGCTTCTGCTACTTTGGCTACCTGATTATAAAAAAACACATTTGGGGTTACAAAAGGGCTGTCACGCAGGGCTGCTAGCAAAGATAGTATAACATAGGTAGGGCACTTCATGTAATGTTCTGCACACACTACTAGTGGTTTAGAGAAATAATTTGCTTCCTTCTGTTATTGCTAAAGCTATCACATAAAATATGCATGAGGAATAAATGCAAATGTGCAGACTGAATAAAGTACATAACTAATGAAAAGAACCATGATAAAATGATTGAGTTGTGAGTTTGGAGTTCTTTGAAGATGAAATAGCTTGGATATATTGCTTGAAATCTTTGTCAGAGGCAATAAAAATGGGCTTTTGATGACTTACAATGAATGTGAAATTTGGTAAGGAGCAGAAATCAAATTTAGAAATCAAACGCATCCTTAAAACCAAAAAAGCACATTTTGGTAAATAAACAAAAAAACATCTAGCCTAAAACAATTTTCCATAAGGACAATTCCGCAAATATGACGTGCAGTTTCACTAGAAGCACCACAGAAACATTTGTCTATTTCTAATATAAACATTTTCAAATATACATATTTTGGTTAAAATCTATGTAGCAAACTAGAAGACACACTTCTCTTACTTTATTAGATATGTATAGAAAACGCAACGTCCATGCTTTTTTTCAAATCAACACCGGAAAACAAAGTTTTCCCAAATTATATGACACTGTTGATATTATTTACTTCCTTCACGTTTATGAAACGCGGTATGACGTCATTGTGCGTCATCGCGGCGGTTAAACTGACAAGCATAAAGCTCCTTTTACATTGTTAAACATCAAAAACGAGCGACATGAGGTGCAGCTGCTCAAATCGTGTCACCGGTCACGTTGGAACTAACCGCCTCTAATCTCATCCCCTGTGAAGCAAGCATGCGTCTGCAACATATAAAAAGTTTATTGAAACCGAAGTGTCACGCCCAAACTACCACCCATTGTAGTTTTTGTCTGTATATTAGATGATCATGATTAATGGAGATGACAGATCAGAACATGGATGATGAAAGTATCACCCGTGATTTTTGCAACACTTACCATCTATCAGCTGAACAGTGATTCCGTGCGTGATGTGAAAGCGCAAACGTGCATGTGTGATTTCTTAAACGTTTATATGAGTGTGAATCAAGCGGACGGTCTGGGAAGGGTCGCATTGTTTACAGCTCGGTTTGCGCATGCGTGTGGTACAGCCTGCGCCTGCTCAGTACGCCAGGCAGGGTTCATGTGTTTCAAACGCCGGTTGTGAGTCGGATCTTTGCAAACAATCGAATGAACCGGTTTACAAAACCGATCTGAATTATTTTTTCCCAACTAATTTTTGGCTGGAAATGGTACATTCAAAATTAGATTAAAGATACGCATTTATATTTCTCCACACATTATGTCCATGCGAATCAGCATTTGCAGAAAAGTAAGAATGTTCTTGTAATGATTACCCTGAAACATTTTTACAATTATTTTGCCATTTTTTATTTTGCATTTTATTCTGTACAAATTTATCAACAATAACATGGGATGTCAGAAATTCCATCATTACGTTACGTAAAGGAATGACAGAATTGATCGAAAGAACCGATTCGCGGAAGAGTCAGACTTCCCATCAGTATAATCACATATTAAAAGTCAATACTCTGACAATGACATCCCACAATATAGCGATTATTAATATCTTCATGTGATATTTAACGTTTGACAGGTTGACTCAATTAATAGTAAAGACAAAAAGGGAGATTAGCTGTATAAGTGAGTGATTAAAAACTCAGCCTGATAAAATAATATAAATATTACCTCTGCTTCTTGCGGGTGGAGAAGATGGGCTTGCACACCAAGAGCTCCTTACATGCTTATAGTTTCCATACAGCCATGCCTATTGTCACTTATTGTGGCAGAACAGGGACAAATATGTCGCGCTCGAAGAGCTATAATAATAACCATGCACAACTGAAAATATGGGGTTCTCGGAAATCACGCTAACGTTAGTTGTTTCAAGTTAACGCCTGAGCAGAAAATGTGCCTCCCGGAAATCTCTCTCGCTCGTTGTATCTTTACTTGTATTTGAATTGGTTTAAGCAGCGCTCCCACGTGTCTACCTCGTGTAATTTTTATACTAACATAATGGAAGCTTTTCCCGCAACGGAATAAAAATATAAAAAGATAACGAATTTATATCTCGCAATTCTGATTTTAATACAAGTCCGAATTGTCAGATATAAACTAATGCGAGGTACATTACGCAATTCTGACCTTTTGCACCGATACTTGTTATAAACTCTCAATTTAAAAAGAAAAAGTCCGAATTGTGAGGTAAAAAAAGCCGCAATTACGTTTATTATTGTTATTTTGTTCCGTGGCGGAAATAATATTAATCTACTAAGTTAATAATGAAAATGTGCATACTTTCCAGACTCTATCCATAGCTATAACTTACCTCAACAATAATACGAAGAATATGGTAGCAATTCATATCAAATAGGCCAGTATTTAAAACATTATCTCAAGATATCTGTAGATATTGCATTTTAACTTTTAAAATCATAAAACAGAATGTCTTCAAGCAACAGTAGGCAGTTACTGACAATTTGTAAATTATATCTGCAATAATAATATAATATAGATTTGGAATGTAATTGTGTTTCCTGTACTTTTTCATAACATAAAATACCATTCTAAGAAACACTGTATAGGAACAGAAGACAAGATGTGATCATTTTACAGAATGATTTATATTTTACACTCAATATGGTACATGTACATCCCATAAAAATGCTTAGCAAGCAAATAATTAAATCAAACTTTTTTTTGTAAACATTGAACAGAAACTCGTGCTTTTAGTCAGTACAGTAATTAACACACATTACGGTTTCAGTGAATTAAAAACCGTTTCCTCCCTTTTGCTGAATGCGTATGTATTAATCATTTGAATATAAATGTACATGTTAGCGTGTAAAGCTTCATTTCCCATTATGTAATTTAAAGCAGTATTAAGGTTATCACCGTACATGGAGATCAATGTCATTATCTCAGAACACATTTAAAACAGTTCAAGCCAATTACAAATTTAAGTTCAGCTCCACATAAACAACCGACAGATGGAGTTTGTGAAATGAACACATCAGGGGAAAGAAATAAAAAATATTACACCTAATTAAGATACATTATTCAAAATATATTTGCATACATCTCCAATAATTAAGGCTGTAATGACAAACTATCCATGAGAATATCGGGATGCAATTTTTTTTTTTAAATAAGTGAACATAGTATCAACACTGGCAAAAAAATGGCAAGATCTCTCCATCAAAAAGTAATATTTTACATCTGTCAATACCTGAAAGTCAGTAAGCTTGTTTTCTTTTATCAATTGTGCAATATAAGTCAACACCTTTCATATATATTATAAATATACATACAACACACTCAACACCACTTTCAAGAGCACATTCAACCGATTTTACATTATTTCCCAAGATCTCTCAGACAGAAATATTTATTTATAGGTTCATTCAAGCTATACATTTTTAGTAGTATTTAAAGGTTTCCATATTTGATCAATTTTAAGGCGCAGCCCTAAAGAGAACTAATCAAACTTTGACAGCTGTTATCAAGACCTTTTCTATGGGATCTCACATCTGCAAACCATAGACAGAAAACAGATATTAGCTGATATTGGATGACCTGATGTATATTACCCTGTACAGAAAGGGCCACTATTTCCCCAGTTTCACACTTACATTCCTGGGGCTTCAGGTCCTGAGTTTGAATCAGAAAGAGGCTGTGATGTGAAGTATAATATTGTAAGCGCAACCTCAAGGTCCCGTTACAGTGTGTCACAAAACAGTGGTCCTAAATTGGGTAACGCAGAACACAGTGCAGAGTACATGTAGACGTTAAGTTGGCATCGCTCTAGACTTGATTTGAGGCCTGGAAAAACTAAAGAATGCTGATTTAAAATCTGTTTTTTGGAAAAACAAAACATTCCGGGCTGATCTGTGCTTTAAAATGCTTGATATGGGGCCTTGTAATGTTTTGTTTTTCATAGTATTTGCATTATATTGCAGGGAACAGCTCTAGATCAGGCATCTGTCCATTGATGGAATGAGAGGTCAGCTCATTCACAGGCACAGAGGAATGGAAGAACAGTTCAGCTGCTGAATTCTCCATGCAGGAAGTGAGAACTACCACCAGACGGATATGTAGAATATACACCTGACCAGTTAGGTCAATAGGTCACTAGTTACTATAACACTGGAGTCCCTGGATGTTTGCTGTAGACCAGATTTGTGAGGGGGGTTCACTCCTGCAGGACTAAGCAGCCTACAGTAGCACTCACAAACCTCTTTCTGCACCTCTAATGAGATGAGAAAGAAAACTAAATCAAAGCTGAACGTCAGGTGGGTGACTACTGTGAAACTGCAAGCGAAATAAACAGATCAGAGAGAGAGAGAGAGAGATAGAGAGAGAGAGAGCAGCTCTGAAAATAAATAGTGATAAAAGTAATTTCAACACCAAAATGACCCCCCAAAAATAAAGCTGTGGTATAAAGAAACACTTTGTTACACAATCTTGGTTAGGTAAGGATAAAGCCAAATGTTGGCAGTTGATTAAAGAAAATAAACAAAGAAACTTAAAAGTGCCCATGAAGATAAAACCGAACTCTCTCCTCAGTGTCTTTAAGGATTCTTTGTGTATTACGAGGGCTGCATCTCCCCCGGTATCTCTTCATTCTCTTCTTTATTAGACGAATCGTTGCTGATATTGTCATGAAACCCTAGTTTTTGGAGCTCCTCCTCTGCGCTGGCTAATGACGTCACTGTGACCGTGTGTTCCTCCATCTGCTTCTGAAGGCTGTCCATCTCCTGCCTACAAGAAATGACCATCAGAGGAGTGAGAAAGAAGACGCCCACAAGGTGAACGCAATCTGTTATGTGATTGTGGTAGCTTTATTTATATGAAATATGTGGAAAAGGGAGGCAAGGGAGAGCAGATTTTGTGTAATTGTTCAAAATCAAATTATTTCTTTTGTTCAAATTCATTTTAAACATCGGGTATAAATAGGCGGTCTTGTGTCACGACTATGACAGCTTAAAATCCTCCCTCTGAGAATGTTCCTTTTTAAAAAAGTCAAAATAAACTAAAATAATGTGTCAATACAAATAATTGTATAAGAAATTCAAACCATTCTATAATTTGGGGTCAGTAAGATGTTCTAATGTTTTTAAATGAGGTCTCTTATGGTCAGCAAGGCTGCATTTACTGGATCAAAAAACAAGAAAAAGCATTAATATTGTGAAATATTATTACAATTTCAAATAAATGTTTTCTATTTTAATATATTTTAAAATGCAATTTATTCCTGTGATGGCAAGGCTGAATTCAGCATCATTACTCCAGTCTTCAGTGTCACATGATCCTTCAGAAATCAGTCTAATATGATGATTCGGTGATCAAGAAAAAAAAAAAAATCCTGTTATTATTAATGTTGAATACAGTTGTGCTGCTTAATATTCTTTGTGGAAACCAGGATGATTCTTTGATAAATAGAAAGTTCAAAAGAACAGCATTTATTTAAAACAGAAATCTTTTGTAACATTAAAAATGTCTTTATGGTCACTTTTGATCAATTTAATGATTTTTTGCTGAAAGTATTAATCTCTTTTTTTACTGACCCCAAATTATTGAATAGTATAGACAGTAAATTTATTATACGACATGTTACAGCCAGATATGACAGCGTTACTGCAACACGAATTGCCGCGGATGAGTAGCTGAGTATCTCTTCAAAAAGACAATGCTTATATATATTTCTTATTATCATTTCTTCTTTGATTCTGTTTACACCTGCTCTCTTCATGCGTTTTTACTGATCGGATACCCATCGGATTTTTTAAAAACTGTTCCATTTACACTTTGACGCATAAATGTGTCTCCGCAAAACGAATATATGGGACCCTGGATCACAAAACCAGTCATAAGTCGCACGGGTATATTTGTGGCAATAGCCAACAATACATTTTATGGGTCAAAAATTATATCTTTTATGCTAAAAATCATTAGGATATTAAGTAAAGATCATGATCCATGAAGATATTTTGTAAATTTCCTACCGTAAATATATAAAACACTTATTTTTGTGAGTGAATGCAGCACAATCGCGAACATAAATGGACAAATTTTAAAGGCGATTTTCTCAATGTTTCGATTTTTTTGCACCCTCAGATTCCAGATTTTCAAATAGTTGTATCTCGGACAAATATTGTCATATCGTAACAAACCATACATAAATAGAAAGCTTATTTATTGCGTTGGCTTTCTGGAGAGCTGCTCATATGCGGCGATTCATGTTGCAGTAGCGCTGTCATATCTGGCTATAACATGTTATATAGCCTATAACATGCGCTCAAAGTTAATTTTTTAACATTTTGGGAGGAGTACATATGCGGTTTCAACAACCAGATGCATTTGCACTTGTCCAGTTTCGGAGGGCATTTTTACACCTGGTTTGTTTTACGATCGGATAACTATCCGATCAGAGAAAACACATGAGGTGACCAGGTGTAAAAAGGCCTTTTTTCTTCTTTTCACTGCTACTTGTTTGTAATAGTGATAGTTCGTAATAGTGGGACAGTGTTACAGGGTGCACACTCTCCTCTAGTTTTCACATAGAAAGCTATGGTATGATGTGTGCAAGTCTTACTTTAGCTGTCTCAGACAGTTGTGGAGATTATTGAGAGGTTCCTTATTGACGGATGTTGAGGGTTTCAACAGTTCGTCCAAAAGTGAAGCAGGAACAGGGCAGTCTGGGATTTTTACTGGCGTCACTGGGGTCGATTCCCCCTTTAGATCCATCCGCTGGTGTGGGAACACAAATATTGAGGGAAAATATTCCATTACACACTTACCTGTACATATTACAGACCTACATCCAGTCTAAATTTTTTATTAAAGTGAGCATTAGTCTTACCTTTCTGAGCCTGCTGTTTTTGAGATCCTGTTTGAGCTGGTTGTTCTGCTGAAGAACAGTCTTCATGCTGCTCCTCAGCTCTCCCACTTTAGCCTGCAGCATGAATTTATCCTTCCGCGTGCCGTTGAGATCCTCCTGCACCATCTCCAGCTCCACCTTTATCCTCTACACATCACATCAAGCAAAAAACCACCCAGAATTAAAAAACAAAAAAACATTTTTAGAACAGTAACTCACTGACTGAAAGTGCTGAACAAAGCAGCGCACCTGTAGCATGTCCTGCAGGGTGTCCATCTCTCTATGGTGACACTGTTCCACCATCTCCAGCTGCTGTTTTTGTGTCTCGATCTCCCGCTGCCTCTGCTCCACCTCCCACTTTAGATCCTCCACCTGCAAAGAGACAGGAATACAGTGTGATTAATACGTAGTGAAGTATTTGTTTTTCTCCATACAGATATATATACATAAAAAGATCAATATAGATTTCAAAGACATGAATGAAACTAACTACTGTTGGGTCTGTCATGTTGTTAAAATGTAACGGTCAGGGGGAAACAAAAGCAAAAATGTGTACCCTCACTGGGACAGATCCCTTAAAAGGACAACTTTTTGTACCTTATCCACCCCTAAAATTATTATATTAGTTACTTAAAATTACTAGTACTAAAAAACTGTATAACACTTCATAATACACGCGGTTTCAAAAACAATCATGATGTTAATGTTTACAATATTGTAAATTCTTCATGCCTTAGTCGCATTTAGCAGATTACAGCTTGATATTTGCTAGATTAAAAATATATCACTTTATGCGAGTATGTATGTATAATATACTTTACATTTTGCAATGATATAAACAATCATGAAGCCGAGATATATATAGCATATATTGCTATGTGACTATACTGTGCAGGTACAAAATCAAGCAGTTGAGATTTGCTATGTTGTATATATTGCTTTATGTGAGTATACTGTATGTATGTGAATAAAGTTGTATATATATATATATATATATATATATATATATATATATATATATATATATATATATATATATCCAACTCTTGCACTTAACTGATTCACATCTAGACACTGATTCACATTAACACTCAAACCTAGGTTGTGAAACCTTGCAACCTGCTTACCCAGACAGCATTTTAAGGCATAACAGTAATATATTGAAAGAGGCTCTGTGAAGTTTCAAACTGAGAGGTAACTTTTGCAACAAAGCCACACTGTACCTCTTGGTTAGTGAGGGGTTGTTTGTTGAGCTCATCATCAAGTTGTTTTTGAAGGATCTGGAGTTGAGCATGAGCATCAGCTAATTCCTCCTGGAAATGAGAAACCTCCTCGGAGTGCTTCTCATCTTGAGCTCTGTCAGAGAGAGAGAGAGAGAGAGAGAGAGAGAGAGAGAAAAATTCACAAAAGACACCACCACAATCTGAGAAGTCACACACATCTGAAACTGTTCATTAACCAATCTAGGTATTGATCTCCATCGCTGCGTTTACAGTTCTTCACATATCTTACAAGCATCAGTACATCACTCTAGGAAAACTGGACCTCATAAAGATGTCTTGATGTGTTCTATAATTATGAGTTTCCGAGGCAGCTGTGATACTATAACCCAGAGTGTCTGGAAAACTTACGCAAGTGTCTTAGCCTCTTTCTGCAGGGCTTTGACAAGCTCCTCTTTGGCCTGCAGATCTTTCTTGATCTCGCTGAGCTCCAGCATGGCTGCCCTGTAGTGCCTGCGGTTATGGGCTGCCTCCAGCTTGGCCTCCGCCACCTGAACAAAGCGTACAAACACACAGGTCACACACATGCACATAAGAAAATAAACCAAAGCCTTCGGGAGTTCTCAAGGGGAACTGAAAATGCTACGCAGATGTTAAACCATATATTAACCTGCTCTGTCAGATCCTTGACTTTAATTTTCTCCTTCTCCAGAGCAGTCTGGAGCGTTTGCACCAACTGTCTCATCTGCTGGTCCTCCTCTTCTTTACGCTTTAATACTGCCTGAACCTGGAGTGAAAGATTACAGAGATGTTTAAACAAAACAAAACAATTGTAAAAACTATTCAATTCCACTGATTAAAGTATTGTCAATGATGATGACATGACACGCCGCATCACACCTGCAAGTTGAGCTGGACAAGATCTGCTTCTCTCTTTGCCAGTGCAGCCTCTAGAATATTGGCATGTTCCCGCAATGCACTGTGGGATTTTCCAAGCCCGGAGAGTTTCCCTTTCTCATGCTCTAGCTCAAGCGTAAGCTTCTTATTAGCATCTTCCAGGCGACGAATTCTCTTTTTAAAATTTCGTGACTCTTGGAGCTGTGCCAAAAAAAAAAAGGTGAAAAAACATTTCTTACATTTTGATAACACCACTTCTTTCACAAATTGCAATGGACTGTCCATTATGTAAAACTCACTTAAAAAATACATCATATTACTGGTATTTTAATGAAATATAAGCTATCAGTGAAATTTGGAGCAAGGACGACACCATTTTTATTTTTTACAAACATTAAAATTATTGAGCAAATCAGTGTACAGATAGTCAAAATCAGAGTTGATTAAATTATTGAGGCGAAATACTATGAATTAACTGAGTAACCATCTCTAATATCACAAGAGAATAGTGGGGATACACATACATGTACACTACCATTAAAAGGTTTAGGGCCAGTAAGATTTATTTTAATTTTTTATTCAGCAAGGACACATTTGAAATTTGATTGACCAAAGTGATTTCTGAAAGATCATGTAACACTGAAAACTGGAGTAATGGAAGCTGATAATTACACTTTAAAATATATTAAAAAAGAAAATAATTTTAAAATGTAATAATTGTTCACTATTTTTTTATTGTGTTTTTGATCATCTAAATGAAGCCTTGGTGAACATAAGAGACTTCTTTCAAAAACTAATAAATCTTACCGACTCCAAACTTTTGAAAAGTAGCATATTCATTCAGCAAGCACAAAAAAAAAAAAGATTATCTACAATTTTCTGACCTGAGAAAATGATGTATATGTAAACATGTTAATTGTTACCAAACCATACAGGTTTGCTATATATTAAGCCATTAAGAATACGTTTTCGCTCACCTCGTCTTCCAGTTCCATCACTTTCTCCTGATATTCCTCCAGCTCAGTGCTGGTGAGATTGATGACCTCCTGTAGCTCTTTCTCCAGCATGGCTTTACTCTGGCTCACTGCCTCCAGCTCTCTTTGCAGGGACTCCACCTTGGCCTGAAGCAATGACAAAAATACACATAAATCAGTTATTAGAAGATAAGATCCACTGTAGTTACTCACGGCACCAATGCAATACTTCGAGTTTTTAACAGTGAAAGAAGTATAATCATTGTGTCCCAATGCTTTCAGGAACTATGCAACTCTTAACTTTTAGTGTTTATATTATAGACCATCACTACCAGTTTACCTGAAATTCCAGGCTATTTCCTCCCTCTGAAACCTGAGCTTTGAGTTTGTCAAGTTCAACCTCAGCTGTCTCTTTGGCGGCGAGAGCTTCCTGTAGCCTGCGGCTCAGAATGCCAACTGCATTCTCATAGGCCTTATGCTTGGCCTTCATATCTTTCTGTGCGCTGGTCAAATCTGTGCCCAAACGCTTCATCCTCACCTTCTGCTCTGAGATCGCGCTGGAAGAGGAAAGAGCAGGTGCATAACAGCAAGTTAGACAAACAATTTTGGTCTACTTCACCATCATTATGTTCTTCTAAACATTCAGGGTCATTTTTAATTTGTTTAATAAATGGATGAAATAGGAAGAATAAATCCCAAACCCTCATGCTTTAATCTTGAGACGCAGGCAAGATCATAAGCAAACACGTACAACTGGTGGAACACTTCGGCACTATTGTCTATATGTCACATCACATATTAGTGATGTCAAAGAATGAGCAGCAAAACTATCACTATGGAAACCCTTATGGCAGAAGAGGCGGTGTGATTGTGACTCACGTCTTGGCTTCATCTTGCATTTGTTCAATCCTCTTCCTCAGATTTTCATTCTCTTCGGTCACGGATTCCAGATGGTTCTGGTCAAACTGAAGGGACTGAAGCAACAACATAGAGAGTGTCAAAATATGCTATATACAATACTGTTCAAAAGTTTGGGGTTGGTAATATCTTGTTTTTTTTTTTTTTTAAGTCTCTGCTGCTCACCAAGGCTACATTTATACAAAATGCAGTAATAACAGTAATATTGTGAAATATTATTACAATTTAAAATATCCGTTTTCTATTTTAATATATAATTTATTCCTGTATTTATTTAGCCTGGTTAAAACCAGACCATTCTCAGTTGTAACTGAGTTATGGTCTGGCAAAGCGTCATAGACAAATCATTTCCAGAGGTGCGTCACCAACGGACGTCGCGGATAGACCTAAAACCAATCAGAGCGGTGAATGAGATGACGTATGCAGAGCGGTGGAGAAATATCTCCGAGTGTTGCTCTTTGCTCGGTTTTTAACTAAAAGGAAACGTTCAAATCGCTTAAAACAGACGCGATAGCTGATTCGAACGAGTGATGTTCGACGGCGGCATCCATCTTAGTAATGTAGGCTACAAAATCTGCTTCAAAATCCCAGCGCTGTCGTCATCGTGTAAAGCCCGCCCCAACGTTTCTGATTGGTGCCTCGATTTCGACGGATTGGAAATGGGCTTGAATGAGCTCTTTGCCAAACTAACTTTTAAAGCAAATCTAAATTTGCCGGAAGTTGTCTGGGTTTTCCCAGGCTAGTATTTATTGGAATTTCAGCATCATTACTCCAGGCTTCAGTGTCACATGATCCTTCAGAAATCATTCTGATATGATGTGGTGCTCAAGAAACATTTCTTATTATTATCAATGCTGAAATAAAAGTATTAATTTGTTTAAAAAGATAATCACTGACCCCGAACATTTGAACAAAGGTGTATAGAGACAGAGAAGCATTTAGGCCACGCCCCCACCCGGGGCACACACACACACACAATCCAACCCTCTCCATTGACTTAGTATTGCGTGAAGCTGCCTCCTTGTCATTTCTTGGTTCCAACAAAAGACAGAACAATGCCTAAAAGCTGCTGTGACCGGGTGTAAAGCAAACAAGCTGAAAAAAACCCAGAACTAAGTTTTTATAAGCTACCGAAACATAAAAGCCAGCCTTTAAGGAGACAAAAGTGGATACAGGCAGTAAGATGTGAAGTATCAGCAGGAAGAATGGGTAAATTGTGGAATCCTGACACAGTATGCCTACCTGTGCAGTAATACATAGGGTGGTAAAATAATAATCCTTTGACACGGTTAAAAATAATGTTGATTTTTTTTAGCATATCCTGTTGCTCATTACATTCCCCTCCAGTGGCTTAGTTCTCAGAGTAATATGACACGTTGCGCTCTGCCTCAATTGCCTGTATCTCTATGTAGGAAAAAGTCTGTATCCTTGCAACCGAGATGATCTTGGTAATGCAGTGGGGTGTGTACCTGCAGTTGAGAGTCAAGTTGGTCTCTCTCTGTCTGTACGGATAGTAAATGGGCTTCCAGGCTGTTCATCTGCTGCTGGACTCTCTCCACTTCCTTCTGAAGGCGATCCTGTTCCTGCTCTGCACTCTTCTTTTCTCCCTCCATTCTTAACAGCTCCTGCTTCAGGTCCTTCACCTCCACCACCAGACGCTTTTTAGAAGCCTTCAACTCAGAGATCAACTGGTCTTTGGAGCTGGCGTCTCTCCTGTAAGCTTCGACCATCACCTGCAAGAAAGAGTACAGTAGATTAAGGACACTTCTGCCAAAACCCATTTGACTATTTTGTTGTGGTAAAACCTCCTCACAACTAGTCTTATCCAGCAACAAACAAGGCATATTTGTCAGTCATACATAAATGAAACCAGTAAGAAACGGATAAGATTTTATATATATTTTATAACAGTTTTATATATATTTATCATAAATAAATCCAATTTGTTTCAGTCTCATTCATTTGAACTAATTGAATATTGCTTGTTCCACAGCTAGCTATATTTTAACATTTATACTTTTTAACTGAATGAATTTTATTGTTTTCACAATTAACAGATTTATACTGATTCTAAGCAATTTGAATAAATGCATTTTGAAAATATTATTAAAAATAAAATATAATCAATTGGTAAATTATAAACAATGCCATGATTGATTTTATTTTTTATTTTTAAGTGCAGAAATCTTACCCGTTTCATTTATGTATGGCAAACTAATAAACTTAAAGTGATGCATATTTGTCAGTTTAAAACCGTGTAATCCAAATGAACCGAATTTTTGGTAACATTTTATTTTATAATGCCCTTGTTACATATTCTTACCATAGTAGCAACAGTAAATTATGCATAATTACATGCAACTAACCCTCAACCAAATCCTACGGTAAGTACAAGTTGTTAATCAATATTACTCTGTTACAGTGTAATTATATATTTACATACTATGACACCTTAAAATAAAGTCTATACCAATTTGAAATGTACCGTAATTCAAATACATAAATCTTAATTCAATCAATCTAAATATGTTTGGAGTGTACATTTTGAAGGAACTCAGATCGTTGGGCCACCTACCTTTTGCTGCATGAACTGCTCTTTCAGTTTCTGTGCTTGTTTTTTGAGGGTGCCATTCTCTTGCTTTAGAGCTTCAATCTTGTAGAGAAAGGGAAAAGATGCAATCTGAACCCATCCTAATATTCCAGTTACAAAAAAGCACATCACTCCGATTCAAACCTCTCACCTGTGTTGCTTTAACCTGCACTTCCTGTCTAAGCTGGTCAAGTGTGTCTGAGGCCAACAGCACTTCCTCTCCAAGCCTCTCTGCTCCTTCATCCAGTTCGCTCTTATCTGCCCGTGCTGCCTGCAGAGCCACTTCCAGGACTATTTTCTCATTTTGGAGAAACTGCAGGGTTTCCTCTTTAGCTGTGGCGTCAGTTTGTAGCTCCTCCAGCTGGGCCTGGAGCTCCTGGTAACGGGCCTCCAGCTGATTAAGGGCCTGTTCTTTGGTTTGGAGGTTGTCCTGAGTAGTGGTTAGCTGCTTCATCAGCTCTAGGTGCTCACGCTGTAACAACTCCAGTTGGGCGTCTTTTTGGGAGAGAATGAGTTTGACCTGGATGGAGAAGAAGTTAAGTCGTTTGAGTCATTAGGCTGCATAAATTAGGTCAACCAGAACCGGGAACACTTCCCATAACATCCGATGTACTTGTTACATCGTCAGAAGCCTGGCATCTACACTAATATAAGTCTGTCTCAGTCTTATCCCGAGGTTACCGTACTCAGCCAGATCTAGTCCGTATCCAGACCAGATGGTAGACCTGCACCTAGAGACGACCACAACAGCCCTGAATGTGAGAGGACACCATGACAACTAGACGAGCCGTAGAGACAGGTCCCCTGCATAGACCTTGTCGACTAGACTGTCATCGGCACAGATCCTCAGCAAAGACCATGAGAACCGGAGAAGTCCTCTGCACAAACCCTATGGCCAGCTTCAACTCCTCCCAACCAAATGGTGGTGTAACGTATCCTGATCTTCAAGCAGAAGGAACTGGATTAAATATTGTCAATTATATCAATCCACAATCTGACTTGTGATGCGACCTGGAATCAATCCACACCATGTAGGTTGGTCAGGCCAGAGGAGAACTGTCGCCACTGTCGCCTTTTGGCTTGCTTAGTAGGGGACCCTTTATATTCGGTAATATTATTGACTTGAATGCACTGGCACTATATGAGAACTGAACTGAGCTAGATGATGACATCATTGTTTTCTCCAGAGCAGCTTTTTAGATTAATTGAACTCATTTTATAACTGATGAACTTTACACAGTTATTGTACCAAACTAAATCAACACTGAACTACTTTCAACTGAATAATGACGGTTTACTATTGTCTTTTTAGAGCTGCTTTACAGCAGAATTGAATACTGTTTGTATCGTTGATCAATACTTTCCTGTTTATCACTGTAAAGCTGCTGCATTGTATAAAGCACTATATAAATAAAGGTGACTTGACTTGACATCATTAGGGAATGCTTATATTCAAAATAACATATTACAAGATGGAGCAACCTTGGATTAAGGGTCTTGTTCAAGAGCACAATGCTGACGGGTTTGAATCTACAACTCTGTGTGTGTGTGTGTGTGTGTGTGTGTGTGTGTGTGTGTGTGTGTGTGTGTGTGTGTGTGTGTGTGTGTGCTGGTGTTAGATACCTGCTCTAGCTCTCTCTCCAGTGTTGTGGCTGTATTAGCAAGTTTGAGAAGATGCTCTCGCTCCTCCTCAAACTCTTCCAGCTTGTGCTGAAGATCTTCCTCCACCATCGTCTTTGCCTCCTGGATTTGATGTATGGATGCTTCTTGAGTCAACATGTCCGCCTGGATAAGAATCAATCTATTATTATTGTTTATGCTTTTTAGATTGAATCAATTTCACTCTTTCTTCTTCAACTTGTTCATTGTTTATTAACTCAAGTAAAAAACTAAATATAGTGCCAGACCTCTATACTCTGTAGCTGTACAGCAATCCGTTCCTTCTCTTTTATAGAGCGATGGTTCGTCTCTGTGAGTTTGTGAGACAGAGTAACGTTCTCCATCTTCAGATTTTCCAACACACCAATCTGAGTCATTTGACCGGCCTGAAAGTAAATATACAAACAAATGCACACTAAAGATGGCCATTCTCCATCTGTACCTTTCTGATAAACTTTGAATACATATACTACAGTTTAAAAGTTTGGGTTCAGTAAGATGTTTTAAGTTTTTTTAAATAAATGAACTTTTATTCAGCAAGGATGCATTGAATTGATCAAAAGTTACAATAAAGACATTTATAATGTTGCAAATGTAGTTCTCTTCCACAAAAACAAATTTAGCACAAATGTTTACAACATTGATAATAATAAGAAATATTTATTGAGCACCAAAATCGGCATATCAGAATGATTTCTGAAGGATCATGTGACTGGAGGCAAAGCTGAATTTTCAGCAATATTACTCCAAAGGAAAAAAAAAATTATTTGAATAGAAAACAGCTATTTTGTAATAATGCTTTACAATTTTACTGTATTGTTGATCAAATAAATGCCGTCTTGGTGACCATAAGACTTCTTTCAAAAAGATTTTAAAAATCTTACCGACTCAAAACTGAGAATGGTAGTATACATGTTATGGGAAAACTAATTTATACTCCATCACACTTCACCAACAACGGCACATTATACCTGCATGTTTGCCATCTCTCCCTGCAGTCGCACACGTGCCTCCTGTGCCATACTCAGCTGCTGCTGGTACCAGATGCGGAGCTGCTGCAGGGAGTCCACTTCTGCCTGCGAGGTCTTCAGTCTGCTCTGCAGAGCGTTCCTCTCGCTCTGGACCCGCTGAAGCTGTGTCTGCAGGCCTCCCATCTGCTGCCGGAACTCAGAGACTACGTGGAAAAACAACCAACATGGTATGTAATAGGGGTTGCACAGACTAGTCGAACTGAAGGGACTGAAGCAACAACCTGGAGAGTGTCAAAATATGCTATATACACTACTGTTCAAAAGTTTGGGGTCAATACTTTGAATGTTTTTTTTTTTTAGACTCTTCTGCTCACCAAGGCTACATTTATACAAAAATACAGTCAAAAACAGTAATATTGTGAAATATTATTACAATTTTAAATATCTGTTTTCTATTTCAATATATTTCAAATGTAATTTATTTCTGTGATGGCAAAACTGGATTTCAGCATCATTACTCCAGTCTTCAGTGTCACATGATCCTTTAGAAATCATTCTGATGTGGTGCTCAAGAAACATTTCTTATTATCAATGCTGAAAACAGTTGTGCTGCTTAATATTTTTGTGGAAACTGACTATTTTTTTCATGATAACTTGATGAATAGAAAGCTCAAAAGAACAGAAATGTAAAAAAAAAAAAAAAAAAAAACATGTCTTTACCATCACGTTTGATCAATTTGCTGAATAAAAGTATTAATTTGTTTGAAAAGAAAATCACTGACCCCAAACATTTGAACAAAGGTGTATAGAGAGAGACGTGAACATTTATGTAATAGGGGTAGCACAGACTAGTCGAACTTTAATGCTCTGCCATGACGCTTTAAACTTCACGTCGACTAGCCGCTGATCATGGCCTATAGAGGATAAGAAATCTTTGAAGTCCACTTTTTACGCTCTGTTTCCAACCATTAAAATCAATGACAAATAAATGCATACTACGAGAGCGCTCCACAAGATTCGCTTGATTATACCATCTGGATGCTCCAAATTGATCGGGTGAATGCACGTTTTAAACAGCTTATTGTACACGCAAGTTAATCACGGTTCTAAACTAATGCACTGCTGCATTGTAACGCACACACATACAGACAGTAGCTCGCACATTTAGTAGCACAGAAATGTATTGTCAAAACTGTTCTGTGATTTATCAATAAAATAGTTCTAGCATATATTTCTTAGTAACTGAAACCCACAGCTTCACTATTAGTTGAGACGCTGCCTGCCAGGTAGAATTAATTCACATGCAATCTCTCTCACACTAATGCATTCATATAAATGTAATCTTTACTGTGCTACTTTGTCTGTATCTGATTTAGAACGAGCAGAAATCTGTGAGAAACGTGATGACCAAAAGACAAAAGAACTGATCAAAATAAGCTATTATGTAGGAGCAATAGCCTTGTGGGCAGCGTTGTGTCATATCCCATAGCTGTGAACAAGGCAACCCACATTCGAGTCTCAGCTCGGTTTATTTGTTCATTTATGATGTATTTAGCGACTAGTCGACGTTGACTTCAATCAAACAATTTTTTCACTTATAATTATTATTATAAGTTTTATTTTTTAAAAGTGCCTTTCCCAAGCTAAAGGTTACTTATTGTGACCAGTCAAGTGAGCACAGTTATGGGTTTATCAACAGGTTTTTTTTTTTAACCAGAAAAAGCCAATCAATAACCTTGGCCAATATTTTTGGTCAAATACTAGATCATTTTTTAACAGTGATTGAAATAGTTCCCAGGGCACTAAATGTACTAAAATCTACTGGTACTAGTAGGCAAAAGCGCTATCACCATGTTAACTGTCCTGAGTAACGATAGTCAAGTCAACTCAAGTCAGTTCAGTTCAGTTCAATATCTGTGTAAAGTTTACAGATTGAAGTATACTGATCAACTGATCAAGCTCAACCCTGACATGTACATCTACCACTTTGTCCTCACCTGTGTTGTCTCTGGTATTCAGGCTCTGTTGCATCTCCTCCACTTTGACCATCAGCCTCTGGTACTGCTCTTCAGCCAGCTGCAGGTCATTGCCCAGTGAGGCCAGGCTGGCGTTCTTCCCCTCCAGATTGCCCTGGAGATCCACCATAGCCTTCTCCAGTGCAGAGCAGTTGGAGCGTAGCGTGGTGACCTCAGAGGTGAGGGTGCTCTGCCTCTCCTGACTGGCCTGGGTTTGCTCCACCTGGACCTGCAACTGAGCATTTACTGTAGCCAGCTGTGCCTGGAGCTCCGTTTTTTCTTTCAGAGCCTGGAAATGAAGGTACGGTTTTAAATGATCCATGTGGTTTCAACCATGTTTTTAAGAAGTATATTTATAACAATTAATAAATATATAAACATGTATACATGCACACTACTGTTCAGAAGTTTGAGGTCAGTAAGATTTTTTAAAAGATATTAATACTTTTATTCACCAAGGATGCATTAAATTGATCAAAAGTGACAGTGAACATTTATAAATAATATTACAATAAAACTGTAATTCAAATAAATCCTGTTTTTTTTTTTACTTTATATTTATCAAAGATTTCTGAAAAGAAAAAATTATGATATAATAAGATATTAAGATAACATTGATAAGAAATGTTTCTTGAGCACCAAATCAATCAGCATATTAGAATGATTTCTAAAGGATCATGTGACACTAAAGACCGGACAAATGACTGCTAAAAATTCAGCTTTGCCATCACAGGAATAAATTACATTTTAAAAAACATTAAAATAAAAAACGTTAATTTAAATTATGATAATATTTAAAAAAAAAATTTTTTTTTTTTTTTACTATATTTTGATCAAATAAAATGCAGAAACTTCTTTAAAATAAATTAGGAAAATCTAATTGACCCCAAACTTTGTCTTTGACTGAGTGGCTCTTGTTACAGTGATTACTTTATTTTGTATTTGTAATAAAAAATGTAAATGTTTTTATTTGTGAAAAAAATACTAAAATAGGATTACAGGAAAAAAAATAAAGATTTTTGTAATAAAATATTATATAAAATAAATATTAGTTATATTGCAGTAATGTTGTGTATGAGTTGTGTGTGTGTGTATGTGTGTGTATCTATCTATCTATCTATCTATCTATCTATCTATCTATCTATCTATCTATCTATCTATTTACACACACACATATACACATATGCACACACAATTTTGTAAATATTTCAAACATAACTATAAATATTTAAACCAATCTTCTCTCGAAAGATGGTCATCAGACATTTAAAAAAATCCTTATCAGTTGACCACTAATAAAAAGACGTAGCCTTATATTCTGTTGGTGGCAGGTAGCAAATATTAGACAAATGCCTAGTCCCAGGTTAACTCACCTGACTGGCCTCTGATGAAAGAGACTCCAGTTGTCCTTCTAACCTCATTTTCTCTTTTAGCACTTGCAGCATCTCATCATGAGTCCCCATCACAGAACTCCCAAATGACACGCTGAAAACACATAATTCAATCATGAAGGTTCAATGGCCTGGTTTCATGATAGATAATAATGTTCACCTAAAGGTCAAAAAATATTCAGGGAATGGACTAACCGGTGGACATAGCGGGCCCATACCTGCTGGAGAAGCTGTCCCTGCGACTGCGAGGCTCTACGCTGCCCTCTCTGTCCTGCTCCAGCTCTTCCATGTGTCTCTCTTCAGTGGCTGCCTGCAGGACTTCCTGCAGTGATGGAAAGTGGCCCATGGCTTCTGGAGCAATCTCTCTCCCTTCAACGGTATATGGAGCCTTTGGCTTGTTCGCTATTGCAGCTAACATACTATATGTCCCTGTAGTAGACACACTGCTATAGGACGAGCTATCGCTGTCATTGCCGTCAGCTTTGAAACCTGATTCGCTGCCATCCACCTCAGAGACGTTGTCTCGGATTAGCTGAGATGTTTCCGAACGGCTTTTGGTCTCAGAGCTGATGCTGATTTGCGAAATGGTGGAAACTGAGCTGATGGAGGAATGCAGCGAGCTAAATGATGAGTCGGCAGACACAGAAACTACCCCACCAGGTGCTTCTGCGCTTTTAAAGTCAGATTCGGGAGTTTTGTAGTCAGCGAGAGAGTGGATCTTGCTGGAACGAGATGATTTGGATTTCTTCTCCTTGCTGGAGGGGATTCCTAGGCTTCCCAGTTTGGGACCACGAGGAACGCTGGTGCGCAGGAAAGAGTATTCCGTAGTCATGGCAACAGTACTGGCCCTTGGGAGACCCTCGGGATGGAGCATGAGCTCTGGGTCCAAAGTGCTAAATAGGCGGCTCTTAGGAGTGGATCGCCTGGTCTGAACGAGACAAAGAAATGATGATTAAACATAATAAGACATGTAAAACAGGAAACAGTAGCAAACACTGGACAAACACTGAACTGTTTATCTATGTCTAACGTTAAGTCCATCAAGTCCACCTATAGCTAATATTAAATAAATGATTTACTCAAATGATTTGGCCACCCTCATGTTGTTCCAATCCTGATTGATTTTTTTTCTCCCCAAGGAACACAAAAGGAATGAGAATGTTAAAATAAATAAATAAATTGTGAATATCAAACCAAAACATTTCAATTAACCAATCGTTTAACATTCTTGAAGTCAATTTTGTGTGATGCTTCTTCATGTGCCATATTTAAATACACTGGACTTAAAATATGGTCTGTTCCTTTCACAAAATTATATTATGACTTCAGAAGACTTGAAATATAGCAGACAAGGAAAGTCAACACTTAATGAGGGTGAGTAAATTATGCCAATTAAATTGTTTTTTGCCAAACTATTAATTTAATTCAATATCAGTTGTCATGAAAGCACTCACTCTCTCTGTGTGCCGCTGTACTCTGTATTGTTTGAGCTGTTCCTCTAGACGCCGGCGAGCTTCCTGGCGAATTTTTTCTTCATTTTCCATCTCCACTGATGGCTCTTTTGAAGCTACAAGAAAGACACAGTCAACAAATGCACAGAAACTCTTGCTACATAAAAAATAGGCAGGTGTTCAGATATTGTCAACCAAGCTCTGTTGGATTGAATGCAACAGGCTATTGATTATACGAGACTGATAATACAGCTCATCAATCCTGAAACATGCTTTCTTTGACAATGCTATTTTTAGGGATGGCTTTGACAACTGGTTCCATTTTTAAAAAATACAAGAACTTACTGGATGTGTAATAACGCAATATGCGCACAGTCATCTTTCTCATCTTTTTACAGTTGTAATGGTGATGAGCGAGTGTCTTATATGCACACATTGTTATTAGTTTTAATGCAATTAAAAATTCTGTTTAAATGCATATTTTTGGTGGTTCATATGTTTTGGTACAATGGCCTTACAGAAAAACTAAATTCAAAGTATTGGTCTAAATAAGTTACTAAAAGGAATAAATATGGTAATGTGTGACTTGTTATTACTGCTCTGTTAAAACCCGAAATGAATAATAACCAGGCTGCTGAGCATTTTCCAGAGCAAAAGTACTAGAAGAATTAGAATCATTAAGGGAATTTTACAGTGGAACTGGAACCAAAATCATTCAAATGTCTCATGATTCCCATCCCAAGTCTTTTAAGAGTGAAGCTTCATGCTCATCCTGGCAGAGCAAACACCATGTGATCTCTGCAACCCAAAATAAGCCATTCCATCTGCCTTAGTTAGAAAAAGAGAAAAGCACACTTCAATTTCTGCGTCAGTTAGTTATTAGATCAGCCATATTCCACGTCCAAGCCAAATTGACTTAAATACTGGCAAGACAACATTCATCTTGTTATGTTGTTCCCAGAAAAGCTAAATTTTCCTGAATCACCAACCAGCACAACAACCCCGGTATTGCAAAGAATTAACGTAGCACCAACAATCACAGGAGAGACTTATTAGCCTTTAATTAATTAATTAGGATTCCCATTCAAATCTCTCTGCAAGCCAAAATGGAGAAGCAGGCAAAAATAGGATACAGCAAACAGGGAGGGTTAGCCTAAATCAGCCTCAAAAGCCAAGGAATTACAACACAACAGGAAGGGACGAGGGTGATTTGGGGGGTTATCCAATATCGTATGCTTACACAATTCGGTCTCCTGCATAGGAATACTTAGTCTGAGCGATTGCAATGCGTCACCCTTGTGAATAGAGCCCTCTGCAAGAGCTGCCTCAGACTTCTCTAGGCTGTCAGGGAAAGAGGCCACACCTGGATCCAGCTGTGCGCTCAGGGGGGAGTCGGCAAGGCGGCTACCCAGGGGAGGAGTTGCCAGAGGTGGGGTTCTGCCTCCGTGAGCTTCCTGACCCTCCACCACGGCCTCTCCGTTTGGCAACAGCTCTGCTTGGACATGACCTACAACAAAGAGAAGGGATTCAGCAAAACAGCGTTACATTTACAGGTGTTTTTAGTGTTTTACAGGCCAGGCATGGATGACATATCATGAAATATATTTTGGTTCATTACAATTTTCATTGTTCAGTCTGACCTGGTGTGTGTACTTAGCCTTCTATGGACCACATTAATAATTACTATACAGAAAAATAAAATTACTGACCGGTCATTTTACAACTGTAGGCCTTGCTAAAAATAAACACTAACAACAGTTATTAAAAATGATCACATCTTAAGTTATTAAAGTTAAGTAAAAATGTGATAAAATAAAATTAACTTATTTAAAACAAATTATTACCCAAAAGAGCACTTTTCATGCTTTAGTAAATATCACTCCACACAAAACTATTTGGTAAGACTTTACAATAAGGTCCCATTAATAATGCATTTACCGTACTAACATTAACAATGAGCCATACATTTGTTACCGTATTTATTTATCTTTGTAAATTAGTTAATAAAAATACAACTAATCATTGTTAGTTCATGTTAGCTCAAGATTATTAAATAATATTAATAAAAGATACAACTTTTGATTTTAATGATGTATTAGTATATGTTGAAATTAACATTAAGAATGCTCATAAATGATTTAGAAGTATTTATCATTGTTAGTTCATGTTAACTAATGCATTTCACTAATGTTAACAAATTGAACCTGATTGTTACCAACAATTCTGTAGAAAACAATGGCCCATTCATATTTGTCATCCTTGATTCATTTATTCTACTGACACTAAGACAAAGTGAATACTCCAAGGGGGACCATATTCAACATGTCGAGATCATTTTGAACATATTTGTCCGAAGCATTATTCTTTTCCTTATGGGTCATGTTACTTTGCGCACATTTAAAGTACAAAGCACGACCTAAATTAGCCTGTTTATATCTATGTGTTATGAGGTTATGATTGTTGGTTTTTGGTCATTCACAACTTTCATAATTAGAGACCAGCATAGACAAAAGTTCTCCTGTGCGCAAGTCTTGCAGAACAAGTCAAACAGCCTAATCGAGCTACAGTGACAGTTCAGGAAACTGACACTAAAAGTGAGGGGGAAGTTTGTGGATATATCTAGAGAAAAATACTTCTTAATAAGGTAACAAATAGCACTGAAAAGTGGGAAGAAAAAACATCTCAAAGCCAAGTGACGCAGTAAACAGCAAATGTTCACTTTGAAATTTTGCCAAGTTTTGAATGAACTGAACACAACAAAAAAACTCTCATAAGACAAGCTTAACAGTGAATCCTGCGCTCACATTTTGAGTATAAATGGTATATTTTTATACACTATAAAGACCCAATTTATAATATAAAATATATAACAAACATGTGTAAAATATTATTTGGAAAATATTTAGTTTCTTTTACGTTACATTTTTGTTATTCATTTGGTTTTATTATTTAGCTATTTAAATCAACCTTTTTATTTAAATCAATTTTGTTTTATTATTTATTTATTGAAATATATATATATATATATATATATATATTAATAATTTATTTGATACATGAAATGCAAGAAAAAAGTAAATTGTGCACACGATTTACAAATCGAGGGAACAAATTAGTAAATCGTGCGCACGATTTAGTCTACTATTTTTTTCCTGCATGTCATGTGCGGGCGTGGCTCCGTAATTTTAAATTAAAAGCATTAATTAATTAGTAAAAATGTATTTCGTTTTGCTCTGAACTTTTCCACGGACCCCCTAGCATACTCTTGCAGCCCCCTGTGGGTCACCACCAGTTTGAAAACCCCTGACTTAGAACATCATCCATCAAATTTAATATATATATATATATATATATATATATATATAAAACACTCACCATTTGGGATTTTCTCTGTTACGGGTGATCTCTCCGACTTCAGAGATTCCACAGTATTGCTGTCTGGATGTTGTGCATTCAGCTGCTGAGGGATGGCCTCGATTGAGGCCGTTTCATTATTTCCATTTTCCATATCTCTTGAAATACAGATGCTGTTCTAGCATCCATTAAAAAATTAGATGGGCCTCACTAGTGCAATTCAACTTTACTTCATGCTTGGTAAACTTTGGTTGAGACTGCAGGATGGCCTGGATGGTGCAGACGGCTTCAGTCCTTGGTGAACCTGAGGAATGAAAACATTGCTTAAAATCATCCATACTGTGAGAAGGGTTCAAGATTCATTGCCCAGTTAAAGCAGTCTTGATCAAGGGCACAATGGTGATATACAGAGAACGTGATTCACAACATGTTCCTGAATCAATATCTTTGCTGATCCTGGAACAATATTCCAATCAACCAATCAGATTTGAAGGACAAGTTTACAGTTTATGTCAAGTTTAGGCTTACAACCAGGGTTAGATGCTTCTACATCAGTGTTTTTCACATATCATTTCCCTGTGCTTTTAGGGATAAGTTATGGGTAGGGTTATGAGGGGGTAGGGATAGGACTATATTTTTGGACAGGAAAGTTGTTCCAGAATCAACAAAATATGCTGATCCAGGAACTGTCTTACTTGGCAAAATTACAGTGACCAGTGTGGGATACTTTTGTTATTGTTGCTGGAAGTGGCACTAGTTGTTTAATTTTTTCTTTGTCATGTTTATATAAAGTGCCCTCGGAAATACTTCTCTTTTTTTACCCACTAATTCATTCCACCTCAATTTGGGGCAAGAAAGAGGGAAAATAACTTCACCACAATTTTAACTTAGTACAAACAACAGTGGTTTAAATGACAGTTCACTGATTCTTGAGACATGAGACAAAACATGTTCCACATCTAAACTTGCTATTACCTTTCAAAACAGCACCATTTCCATTTAGAAATGAATCAGAGATTCTCACTAGAATGTTCTTATGGCATGACATTCAACTACCCTATAACTATAACAATACCTATGACTACTACCAGGTGCCAAGGGAGCTAATTCCTATAAAATTCCACTCAATTCCTCTAAAACCATCGGTCCACTCCGACCATAGCTCAACACTGCATATAGATTAAAATGTTAAATAATAAAAACAGTAATACAAAAGTCTCTTATGGAGAAAAGCAATACAATTTAATTAGTTATCTTTTAATAGGTTTCCAATGCATTGGAAAATATTAGTTCCTGTAGTGCTTTATGCATGCATGATATGCAATATATGCTTTAGTCAACACTTTGAGCTGTCAACACAACGGTTGTCTGTCTTACTGCGAAGAAAATTCAATAAATAAACTAAAAATCTGCTTTAAATGAATGATTTAGTCTCCATTCACACACTGAAGGAAATGCTTTATTTGTCAATATTTATAATAAATATTGGACACATTATTGCTAACAGGTGGTGATGACTCATACTGAGCTATAGGCAAGGAAAACAATTTCATGAGAAAATAAAAGCAGCAGGAGATTGAACAGAATAATCCTTCATATACACGAATGCATATATTCTTCCTTATATAAACTTTTCAGCACTGTAGTTTGCTTTATCCTAGTTGTTATAGTTAAGTGTCATTAAGTGTCATCATGAAGTGTCATTATGGTGGAGGAATGAGATTTCTGTCTCACACAATGCTAGAGGATTAGACTAACCATCAACACGAGTCTAACTGTATAGACTAATGCGATTTAAGACACTTATCAGACAACTGACATGCGAACAAAGCTGTCATTACTTTAAAATCAACCTTGTCATAATATCACATATAGACAGATCAGACTGACAACAGCATTTTTGATTAACGTTAACTGTCACTCAACAGAGATTATGTCCCTTATTTCAGTGCAATTAACTGAAAATGAAAGCACAGCAACAAATACGTCAATCATAATAAATAACCAGCAGCACGGAGAAAGTGAAAAACCACTGGAGATACAGTGTTAAAGTGAGTTTATTATTATAAATCTTTGATCTCATTAGCATCAGCCTTTTAGCTACTTAGCCACATCGCACGGTTATCTAAAAGCAACTGATGCATGACACTGACACACGACCACGCTTCTGCATAGCAGTCGTCACGTGAAATGGTGAATTATTAGTATGGTGATTACAAGAGATGATAAAAAAAGTAATTAAGCACCAACCTTAGACGTGCTCCTGTCTATACTACGTGGCTGTTTAGGTTCCGTCCTTCAAACAGATCCGTCTCACAACGGTTACCTCAAAATGAAAGGTTCCGCGTAGAGCTGCTGCGTAGCTACGTAAGGAAGGCATCTATGGATTTTAATATCCCCTATATTTTATTTATAACAGTCTAATATCAATAACCAGTTAATAATCATACTTTTATATATTATTTATGGTTAAAAAAAATCAAAAGCGTTCTTCTGACCAATTGTGAATGTACTGATCTTACAAACATGCTGCACGTTTTTTGTCTAAATCACAATCAGTATGATTTTAAACACTAATTTAAACTGTTTTAAATTGTATTGTGCAATCAAATGAGTAGACAAAGACCTGTCTCATGAACATCATCTCCAAATCATATGCTATTACACAAACTGAAAAATCATATTTGCCCCATTAGGCTTTTGAATGGAAGCCATACAGACACTGATGTATGACAAAGCATCAGTCTTTAATTTGATTACAACCCTTTTACATGATGTATAATTAGTAACCACTATAAAATGTGAGATTTCAAGTCATTCATCACATGCCAAATGCAACTTAAGGGACCCTTCTGCTTTTATTAAAAAAATACTCAAACTGGGAATGTGGAAAATGTGCGGTTCAAACACATCAAATTCCTAAAATGTACATTCAAAATAAAAATAAAAAGCAAAACAATGTCTAAGAGACCAAATTATTGTGCATGCAGTCATTGTAATATTACATAAGATAAACCTTAGACATGGCCTGTAAAACTTTATCAATGCTGTTTCTTGGAATTTAAGTTGTAACAACCCTTATGGAATGAAAACCGTATTTCATTAGTGATACAGTACCTACTTATCTCTTTTAAAAAGCACTTATGCATTATGACAACAGGTTCCAACTATTTAAAACCTCGCTGCTTTTCCACACTCAAGTGATAACGGAGTCAACCATTCTTTATTTTCTTGATTTCCAATTCAAACAGAAGAGGGTCACACTCATAATAGAAGGGTCATACTCATAATAAAACTTCCTTCAGTTATTCAGAGCAGTCTTTTTTTGCCAGATGCAGCCCTCCACAGAAAATGAATCATTAGTCATACAATAGTAAATTCAAGCCACAGAGAAGCCAAATGTTCCTCATGTGACTTTATTGTAAGGAAAAGTTAAAGATCGCAAATACTCATACTCCCTATCAACTCAAACAGCCCGCTCTCATATCAGACAGTGCTCATCTAGACGCTCACAATATAACTCTTTAAAGTACAAAAGAAAAACAACAAAAGAAGTTACCCAATGTGGGAATCAATCAATAGCACAAGCCTTGTATCATAGCATGTCGTGTAAATACACAAATACATGATGACTGACGACTGGTCCACAATGAATGAGAAAATGAAGGGCGATATGAGAGTTTGTGAATGGGACAAAAGCTCACAACATCTTGATGATTGAGAAATGGACGCATTAAGAGTGGCACCAAGGTCTTGTGAAGTCAAGAGGCCAAAAAGAAAAAACAAAAGTGTCCAATTTTTCAATTTCAGAGTCTGTTGTAGAAAAGGGGTAAATGGCAAGTGGAGCATCCGTATGAAGCGACGTTCCGGGCTCATTTCTTCTCCTCCTCACCAGCCTTCTCTTTCTTCTCTTCCTTTACCTCCTCTTTCTTGTCCTCTGAACTCTTTGTCTTGTCATCTTTCACAGACAGCTCCTCCAGCTTCTCTGCCACTTTGTTAGGGCTGTTCATGCTACCTGTGAAACGAAATTAAAACAGTGAAGTTGAAGGCTCTTCAAAGACTACTCCAACTGAAGCCTTACACAAATTTATGAAAGGAAAAAAAATGTCTGAGAAGATACGGTCACCTCCCAAGTGAATGGCAAGGCAGTTTGTAACAATCCTCATGTTACTGTAGCAGACAGAAAAAGTCTAAGGCTGGATGTGTCAGTCTTAAACAGAGTGAGTCTGCAATAATCCTGGTAGAAAATGCCATCATCTTACCTTCTAGAAACTTTCTGGCCTCTTCTTTGCATTCATCAAACTTCATCTTGAACTTCTGTGCATCTGCAAGACAAAGGAAACAAAGGGCACAAAAAAAAGCAGAAGTCTGTTAAACTAATGATCAAATTAAATTTTAAAAAGCATTGTATTTATTATGCTATTCACAACTAGTATAATTTAAAGTATGCAGGAAATGGAAATGTATCTATTTTCTAAATGCATATTAACTTATTATGAATTAATCATCCATGCATGAGTTTATTTTTGTCAAAAAAAATGACCTTCTAATCTTCTAGAGAAAGGACATTTCTCTCTAGTGATGTTGCCGGACTTCTCCAGCTTAAACCCCGCCCCATTATTACAATCAACTACAAGCTTGCATTCAGATCTGCCTCCATCCAATCAACAATAGATAGAATCAAATCCCCACCTAATATTTTTGTTTCACTCGCATGCAAGTCACAATATGGAAGAAAAGTTATTTCGCTACTATTGTTTCTTTCTGTATTTTGTAGGGCTTCAATTAGTTTTACTTTAACTAGATCCCTGAGATTTGTTCTGGAGATCATGTTCATTTGTACTCACTCTCTGCATTAAGGAATCGAATAGCCAGCATCTCTGCTTTGGGTTTTTCATCTGCAAAGTCAGCATGTGTATTCCACACCCAGGCCCTGTCACTGCCTGCATTGGGCTTCAGCTCCATCAGTGGCATAACTAGAGCACAGGATTTCAATTCATGAGTTAAAGCCAGCACATGATTGGAAAATTAACAGGAGGAGGACAGATAACGATTACACTCACTGTTGTGGTTGGCACAGATTTTGAGGGTGCGGTCTCTCCTCATGAGAAGGCGGATGGTACCCTTCTCTTTGTGTCGCAGGAGTTTGACATCACCCGTCCCGCGCTCCTTCCACTCGGGAGGGTCGTTCTCACTGGCAAAACGATACAGCTTTGCCCTCCTACAAAAACCATGTTGAAGATAAAAGTCAGCAAAAATTCAGTTCTCACGCAGCAGTTCTCTTTTGCATGTCACCGCACTCGAACAGACAAATACAGAGAAAATTGTGTCAAAATGCCCATATTGGTGATGGTGAGTATCCTTGATGAATAATTTATACAGTGAAGTCTATGTAGTGTTTTATTTTTTACATTTGTTCATTCAATTTCTTTCTTGAAAAGCTGCAGCTGAAAAAATTAAAGCACTGTTTATTTCACTTGTATATTTTATTGTATTTGTCCTATTTTAAATATATAATATATATATATATATATATATATTCGTTGCGAATGCACAAGCAAATAAAAGACAGGCATCTTGTCTTGTTGTTTTGTGCAAATGTAAATTGTAATATTGTGTTTATTTTGTGTAGGCTTATATCTGATTGATCTCATATAGGATGCATTTGGTTAAGAATTAACGTAGTAGTAAAACAGTATTGTAATCAAACGTTGTTTTGCCTTGTTTCTGCATGTAGCTTTAGGAAGAGCACATCCACAACATGAGTCACACATTCTGACTAGCACACAACTTGAACTAAGTTCACTTGTACAAAATTTTTTTTGTACATTAGCGTCATTTTGTGCAGATATAATTTGTAATAGGTTTGTTTTGTATACATCTAATTAATCTCATATAGGATGCGTTTTCGTAGAGTTAAATAACCAGCTAGCAAAGGGCTTCAGTTTACTGGCGCACACAGCCCAAACAGCAATGCACGACTTATAATAACTATGATTGGGACTGTCATTTTACATAACATTATAATGAGAACGCTATTTTAATAAATCATTGTGAATTCATTGGGTTAAGTTGCCGTGGAACACGAGTTACACATTCCGACTAACAGGCATCTGAGTAGTGTTGCACGATATACCGGTACTAGAAAGGTAAGGAAAAACACTCGGCTGTACCGGTCGCTGTTATATTATTAATTTACTACAAGTATGCTGCTAGTTCAGGCACACATTTATTTTCCTGTTGGTTCTTTGCAATGTTAATAAAATATATTGAACGTTAATTCTTTATGGGTCATTACTTTGTGTGTGACTATAAATACTTTGCTTTAAAAGTACACACACACAAAAAAAGATTCAGATAATCGATAATCGCTTTAGCATCGAATCGCAGCCCTCTGAATCGTAATCGAATCGTGAGTTGCCTAGAGATTCCCACCCCTAACGCGCACCGCTTGACAAAGAAACATGCATGAGAAAATAAAGCGCAGGACAAGCTCGTGCTGCCGGGCTCAGACCTGAAGCGCGCGCATGCCTTCCACACAAATCGCGACTTCAGTTCTCTTTCACGGTTTATTAGGTTTCAATAGTCAAAACTATGTAAAAATGCACGTCCTGGCAAGTAATCACGTAAACACAGTCGGGTATGTCTGTAGTGAACCGTTTGTAAAAAAGAAAAATCTTATGTGTTCCAATGTATTGGACGTGCAGGTCTTAAAGGGCCAGACTAGCAGTCTAATATTCTGTTTGATTAATGTTAATCAAACAACAAAAGAAAATAAACAATCACCCAATAAACACCCAATTGACAATAAATTTAAGCTATTTATTAAGAATCAATCTATAGTTAATTTAGAGTTAAGACTTTATTTTGTCAGCTACAGTAGGTCTATTTAAAGGCGTGGTACAACGCTCTTTACACAAGATGTAAAATAAATCTCTGATGTCCCCAGAGTGTGTATGTGAAGTTTTAGCTCAAAATACCCCACAGATATTTTTATATAGCATGTTAAAGTTGTCACTATTTGAGGGTAAGCAAAAATGCACCTTTTTGTGTCTGTTCCTTTAAATGCAAACGAGCCTCTGCTCCCGGCACAGAGGGCGGAGCTACAACAACTTGTGTCCTTAGCAGCTCTGATTACCTCACACAGACATGCACAATGAAAATTCTGAAAGCTTTTAGCCTTTTATGTTCAAACCGGAGTCAGAAAGGTGGAGAGACTCAAGAAGAAGTGACAACATTTCTGAATAGTTATTTGATTAATTTATGTAGCTTGTGTAGTTATCTTCTAGTCATTGATTAACATATTCTGTCTTGATAATCTATAAGTCGCATTCCCGGGGGTGG